TTAAGAATACAATTTTTTTTTCCACAAAGCTTTTGGTAAGAATTTATATGCACTGTCACATACTAGGGTTTCTCTGTGTATGTTCCATAGAATGTAGAATAATGATAGCATAAACCTGAGATACAGCATAAATGTCAGCACACTCCCTCAGCTGTCTCATATAACCAGTTCAGCTTCTTAATGTGTCATCCTAAAAGTAGCTATCTTATATCTGCTGTATTCACCTACAATAGAGAGGTATCCACCTCGGTATTGCTGCTATTTTAGAAAATAGCTTACACTGACAACAATTCTGTTTTCCTTTAGAAAATCCTTGAAACAAAATGGTTGTATCTGTTGCTTTCTTGTCTAAAGTAAGTATCTGTCATTTATACTGTGCCAGACCCCTTGAAAGGGCTTTTCAAAAGCTAATAACTATTTTTCGCAGCACTCAGTGTATTAGGATTTGCTCATTTGTCAGCTGGGTAACTGCAGATGTAGGAGGAAAAGTGACTTAGTCAAGGCTGCACATGAAGCTGGCAATAGCAATAGGTGTAGAGTTCAAATCTTTTCTTTCCACTGCTCTATTGAATGCTTTCCACTTTGTGAATAAAGACCATTTCATTCTGTTTTTCTCAGGACTGAGGAACTAATTCATCAGTGAGGAGAAATAAGTCATTTTTGTTTTGTTTTGTTTTCTTTCTTTTTACGTTAAGAAATTTTCTTAAATTTTGAAAATTCTTGTCCAACTAGACAGCAGTCAAAGCTGGTTTGCTATTTGCTTTGGAGATGACTGTTCACTTACTTCAAATTAGGTGACAGACTCCGGTACTTTGTCCAAAGAGAGGGTTCCTGAAGTTTAGGATGAAAGACCAGACTTTCCAAGGATAATAACTCTCTTTGCCAATACATTCTTGCTTGCATCAATAAGAAATATCACCTTTTTTTTTTTTTATACAATCCATAAAAGTGGAGTGGGATTTTATTATATTCATTTTATACCCCCTCTGTAAAGTAGAACAAAGCACTTTATTTTTAACAAAGATACATAACTGCATAAACAATGATTCATCTGTCCAAATATAGTCATCTATTAATAGTTCACAATACTCATGTACTACAACTAACCTGTTCAGATGTGGCAATCCAGGCTGAGATATCTAAGTTTACTGATGAGTGTTGTCAATGCTGCATTCTGTTACATACAGAAATTCAGGACTGTTTTTATTTCCCAGCCTAGCCAAAACATAGCAGTTTTTCATAGATTTTTTTCATGGCCATAGAGTAGAGTATATTGAATTCCAATGGCAGACAGCTTAAGGGGAAAACACAAAAAGGTGTTCACTTTTTTCTTCAGTTCTGTGATCTAACACAGGCTAAAAAGCAGACTAAACCCTGGAGAGTGCTATTAAGTCCATGAGGTGTCCAAAGGCTGATGGGCAGTGAACTCTGCTTGCAGAAGGTGCCATGGAGAACTTAATAATAAATTCACAGCACAGAGGTGTATCTGTGATCAGATCACTTCACTTGCATTTCATTTAACTGCCCTATTGGGAGGAGAGAGTATTATTAGGAACAGCCCCTGGTAAAATTTCCCACAAATACCTTGAGTATTGTCTGGAAAATTATGAGGAAGCAAAGGTGCCCATGAGCTTGCTTACAATTAATACTACAGATGTTTGCCTATCACTGAACCCAATTGTTTTGTTTAATAGGAGAGACTTAGCCTAAAAACGTAAGTTCAGCTTTGTCAAGTGCAATGTCCAATGAAGTCAACCCTCAGGGTTTTGGCCCAATATTATTTGCATGTTGTTTTTGTTTACATTACTTAGTTATTGCAATCTCTCTACTTTTCACTTCTATGTAATACACATAGCAGAAAAAATTTTCTATACAATGGTACTGACAAAATTTGAACCTTGTCTGTAGATTATGATTGCATTAATTCTGAAAGATAGTACCATTTGATCTTTTTTTTCTGCACTGTATGAAATGTCTTCCTTTCTTCTCACCTCTGTTAACATATCCTTTTATATCTAATTGATTTCTCATTCCATCCACATCTGCATAAATTTATGGTTCCATAAATCAGTATGCAAATGCAGGCTGAACAGCCCTACTGTGTAGGTGTGAATAGGTCACTGTTGCCATTATTAGCAGCACACCTGCTGATGTTGATGATTATTTATTGTGTCTTTGCTATATTGTGTCAGAAGAACCTAAAGATCATTTTGTTACCTAGAATTCCTGACTAAATTTGATAGACAACAATGGAAAGGGCAAACTCATATGAATTTTATCTCACTCAGCAATTACCAATTTTTTAAAGGGCAGGTTCAATTCACTGAGAAAATTCTTAAGATAGATTTTACATTTGTGTTCGTTACTTAAAAGGGTTATTTGATGGAAGAATTCATTTACATTATTTCATCAAGTAAAAGGTTTCTCTTGCCAAATGCTAGTCCTTGTACACAATTACATTTAGGTAAAACAAAACAAAACAAAACATGTTTTTTCCAGAATAATTTTGGTATGTGCATTTTCTAGTGTAAATTTTTCTAAGTATTAAGTCTGGGTGTTACTGACAGTAAACATTTCAAATTTTATATACTGATATTCCTAAACTGAAATTATGATATGCTTTAAACTCAAAATCTTAAAATACTTTTGGTAATGCAGTCTACTATGCAGATAAAAGCTACATACACACTGAACTGCATTAGTTACAGCCTGGCAGCGTGTCAATGGAAATGATCATTCCCCTCTGTTCAGCACTTGTGACATCAAGTCACAAGTCCAGCAAAGGGTCATTCTTAAGTACAATTCAGGGAAATCAAGAACTGGAAAACCAAAGGGACACTGAAAAAAATGGGCTTATTCATTCTGAAAACAAGGAGATTGATAAAATTGAAAGACTGTTTTCACCTATCTGATGCAGGATTGTTGAGGAGTCATACTCTTGGAGGTGCACAGCAAATGCTCCAAAGCAGAGATGCAAGTTGCAGAAAGGGAAATTCAGGCTGTAAGGAAAAAAATTTGCAATGATGGTGGAAGGAACACGGACGTAGGGCCCAAAGGCCCTGAGTGGTCCCCATCCCAGAGATACTGAAAACTTGATTGCACAAGTTTGATTGATCTGGAAGTCATATCCTCTGAGAAGTGTAAGGGTTCTGAGGAATGATCTGCTTTGTATTATATACAAACTGCTTCCTATTATTTGAAGCAAACACATAACTGATCAGCATTGCTGCAATCTCTTGCATTTTGTATTGCAATGTCTCACTTGCTGCCAAAGACAACTTTTATATTTTCCTGAGGTAAAACAGACATGTCTGTACTTTGCAACCTAAATTTCTAATGGAGGCTGCTTTTAGAACTGATGCAGTGTCAGAGACAAGTTTGCTTTACCGTGCAAAGGAGGTGGTATGTGTATTGATACAGATATCCTTTGACATGCCAAAGGTGTTTTCATTTTCATTCAAAAGAGACGACAGCAAGTGGCAGTGTATGAGGATTAATGTATACTTCAGTATGGTACTTTTCCTCTTTCCTGTGTTTTGACCAAATATTGCCTTTAAGCATCCTGAAATGGAATCCTTGGAGATAAAATGTAAGAAACAAGGGAGTATATAAAAGTATTCAGAAGCTTGAACAGTGCTGCAGGTATCTGAAACTCTGTTAGTGCTGCTAATGTTTTTGTATCCTCCCTATGTCTGTATCTCATGGACTGTTATTCATATGAGTTCTAGAATCCAATTTTCCCCAAAGTAGCTCATGCAATACTTGTATCAAATCCATACTGCTGGTCATTGATAAGTCTGAAGAAAGGCCACAGTGAAGATAGGGAATCATATTTTATTTGGGAATGTTTTGGGTTTCTTATAGTTCCCAAGGCCACAATGGATGGTGGCTCATTCCCATTCTCAAATTGCTAGACTGGGGATGCTAAGACATCACACCAACCTGATTTAGTCAGGATGCCTCATCAACATTCTTATTTTATCAATAAGAGTAAAAAAAGAGTCAGGCTTAATAAAAGGAAACGGAAAATATAAAGATAGTACAAAGAAAACAAAAAGGGGAAGATGGATAGAAGGAGATTTTCTAGAAGAAAATCTAGATAATAAAAGGAGTAGAAAAACAGGCTGAGAAAAAACTAGTGAAGAAATTATGTTCTGCACTTGGGAATCAATATATTGCAGCTTAAGAAGGCTGGAAGGAAAAAAGTCTTCTGAGCTTTTCATGTTAAACTGAATATATATTATTCTATTCTATCATGCAATGTCAAATGTCTCCTGAAAACCTAAATAGATTATGTCTACCACTTCAGTCCTATCTGGTCCCTCCATTCTCCTTATGATAAGACAGAGATTTATATTCTTATTCTCCTCTGATAGGTGCATCAATTTCTGCTGTCAGGTTGCCTGTCCGAATAACAAACACTATCACAGAACTGCTTTAAATGTAATATTGATAGATGTTGTTTGTGTGCTATTGGCATCAACTCACAGTCACTTCCCTACAAACTGTGACCTTCTCAAGAAACATTAATTTTCTATCTTTTCCATATTCTCACCATCAAGAACTAATTATGGCCATAGAGCCATCATTTGGGACATTTCTAGGAATTTTGTGCTTCCCTGTCGCTAAACTGATTCACTAAGCTGTTTGGAGTACCACATTCTCTCTGGCTTCAAAAAACCTGGTTTGCATTTTGGGGACAGAAGAGTTGCCAACATTGAACAAAGATGAATGTTTTCAGTGAGATCTCTGATCTGATAAAGCATTGCAAAATGTTCTCCTGCCTCTGTAGCTGCTGCTGCTGCCTGCCAGCACTCAGTCATGCCCTCTCCAGGACCTTGCACTGTCTCAGCTCCAGGCAGCAGGTCCCCACTCCTAATTCCTGCCTACTGCACACACCTACTTCCACCTTTCCTCTACTCCCAGCTAAATCATTTGTCCAAATACAGTTTCTTTCTCCAGATTCATACACTCTTCTGCTCGTTACTTTTCTCTCACAGAAGCTGTGAATGGCAACTAAACCTTAACTGAGTAGCTGGTCTTGACCAGTACAGTGAATGACAAAAACCTGGGTTCTTCCAAGATGTTGCTTCAGCTCCTTCTCTCATGGACCTACAGCAAGGAGATGTAAACACCTCCCAGAATGAAAAAAGGCAAGTTTTAATCTCTCTTGAGTGTTGTTGCATTGGTTTCTTACATAAACAGGATACCGAAATAAAGTCAGAATTTTTTTAATGCAAATAATGAATTATGTACTGGTTAATACTACACCATTATTAAAACTCTTGTTGTTTGGGATTTTTTTATTTTGAAAATTCCATTTTGACAATATTTTTCTCCTACATATTTTGCATTCCTTGTTCATCTCCCTCATAACTCACAGGAAGGTGATTTCACACACTGCTCAGCACACTGCATAGGAACTGTTGATTTCTTGAATAAGCTACAGATGCCTTCATCAGTTTTTCAGTTTCAGACTTCTTGAAATATTCAGTTTGCAAAACTGGTATTTTACTTGTAATCTGTCTTTATAAACTCACAGAAGATCTCTTGTAATGCACTGTGTATGAGTTTGCTCTTTTCCTCCTTATCTTCATATATCCATACAACATTCACAGACGTTGTGTGTATCACATACAACAGTATATTCTAAATGTTATTCCTTGCATTTTAAAGTCATTTTGCCTCAAGTAATTCAGCTTTATCAGATTAAAGTTCACAGTCATGTGGAATCAATATTTTTATATGAATATATATAACTTCTTAAAAAACTATCTGAGCAATGCTTATGAATATATCTTACTGATTTCTACTAAATATGATAAATTTTTCCTTGCTGTTCCTACCTCAAGGAAATCAGTAGGAAACTTATCACAAGTCACAGTGGATCTTTGGACCAAACTTATAAAACTATGGTATTATCATTAAAGTTAGTGCTCAACAATGACCATGACAGAATGAAGATGGCCTCAATTGTTATGTAATTCTACCATAGTAAGTAGAATTAAGCAACAGAAGTAGTATGCATGTTACCTGTAAGAAATCTTGTCTATTTTTTCATGAATGCCTGCATACCAATTTCTACCAGAATGCAGTTAAATTTCTGCTAAAGAACATCTGATGGGATAGTTCTGCCTATTGCAATGATACAAGCATTGTAAGAGTTTCTTATCAGACTGAAAAATGAACTCACATACATTATAATAGTGAACATGACTGGAAAATTTCCAATTCAAAATATTAATTATTGAGTTTATTCAAAACAACAGGTAATACCATCAAGAGAATTGTTTCAAATTTATCTAGGTGACAACATTTTAGTTTTTCAGTTTTGGGTGAAAAATCAAAATACTAAGTCATTCATGCAAAATGGAATTTTGGAAAACATCCATTTTAAATAAAAAATTCAGATTTGAAACTTAATTTCTCAATTTCATTCCATCTCATTCCATTTCATTAATTTAAATACCAAATGAACTAATTCACGTGTTATACACTATGAAAAAATTCAGTTGATCAAAACTAGCCCCTTACTGAATACAGTTTCAATTCATCATGTTCTTTACAGCTCTACATTTCCAATGAAGCAATCAGATACTTCTTACTACATACTGAATATATCCTTTTTCCAGGACATGAATCTTACAATAAATATGTCGCTTTTTCTGATGACCGAAGAAATCAGTAGTCCTGTTAACTTTTTACCTAGAGAGTTAAATATGACCAATTTTTGAAAGAAAAATCCTTAATTCCTGAAAAAAAGGGGGAGTTTTAACAGATGTTAAAACATCTATAAAATGTAAATGCTCAATCACAATGATATTCAGAATACTCTACAACTTTTTTCTAAGTTAGATGAAAATTTAGTAACATAACAGTAGAATATTGGATAGCATAGAGTTAGTTTTATTTTGCTACAGTGTTACAGATTGTTATATTGTATTATTGTACTTCTGAAATAATGTCTTGTTTCTTTACAATTCTCTGGCCAATAATGCACATTCAGTTTTTTATTCCTCTTCCTTGCATTTACAATTACAAAATTTAATCAGACCAAAAGGCTGATTCTAAAGGTTAAATACACTATAGTATAAACAATTATTACAAATTATTAATTAAATTATTAATAAAAAGAAGCAGATTGTTTCAGCAAAAAATTTTTCAATATGACAATTTCAATCCATGAAAAACAAAACAAAACAAGAAATTACCAAAAACCAACCAAGCAAACAAGCAGAAGCAGTATACAAGTCTAAATGTTACTGTGAGTTTAACCAACGTCTGGAAAGAATAATGGAAGAAAACAGCTGTTTCATTAAAAACTTGAGTCAAATAACTCAGGAAAAATTCTTACACCAGATCCTCATCTGCTGTAAATTGTTGTGGCTGTGTTACCTTCTTGAACATTTAGAAAGGACTGTTCATGTAGGTATCACAGCAAGTTTCACTGAGTGAGGATCTGTCTACTGAGTAGGGCAAATTACATGTATTTTGAACAAATTCATTGAGTCAGTGACTTTGTCAATCAATCTTATTCCAGGACTTCTACTTTTGTATCTCTTTGTTTCAGCTGTAAAGTGAAGGCTTATGCAAAGTGAACTAAATCTTATCAATCAAAGAGTCCGCATCTTCAGTGACTGCAATTCTTTGAAGTGTTGGGAGAAACAGAAATATTTATCATGTTCTCAAGGTGGTTTCTGAAGCTTTCAACCTTGTATCTAGATTACAGCCAATGCCTCTTTCGTCAGCCCTTTTTAGACTGTTAAATCAGCAGTTTAAAAAGACGTTCTCAGCATGGGAAGCACAGGGGAACTAGGACACATAATCAATCTTCAGACTCCCAAGAAACCTGCTAACGGGATTTTATTTCTGTAGTCATCCAAAGGATTAGACTGCTTGCTAAAACACCTTCACTCACTCTCTACCTCTTACTCTTTGTGTGCCTTAGCCCTTTTTCCTCTCTCTGTGATACAATAATGCCTATTTTTTTCTTTTTAATTGTTTTTGTAAAATATCCACTGCTACTTTTTCACTCGGCCAAGTACATTCTGCAGTGAGATCACAGCTGCTTATAACACTTGAAAGATACACTCAGCACAGTATCTTCAATAAAAAAGTAACCCAAACCCTACTATAGGGTTTATTAGTGCTTTTTGGAAGTTCATCCAGAAAGAAAATAGCAATAGCTTTTATATCTGTCATTAACTGCATGCTATCATAGAACTAAAGAAGTTAATATCTTCTCAAGCTAGTGGTGTCTTGATCATTGATAAGTAGAAGCTTATATTTACTGTGCAGTGTTTTAATTCCCTCTGGCACCTTACTCACTTCTGAATGCACAATTTGGTTTATAAGTATTGTTCCACTTTCTTACATGCCACACTGTGTTCTCTCATTGTTTTCTGTTCCTTTAAGCCATTTCCCTGAGATACTGTAATAATCTCGATATCTTCCAGTCACTTCATTAGTCTCCTCTGGTAGCCATCCTCATAGTGAGCTCTTGACAGCACTCATCAATTCTGGATGCTTCAATTAATTGAACCAGCACCTATCTTCTCTCTGCTTCTGTTAGCTCCTTCCACCAGTACTTTGAAACACCCAGCAAAGCAATACTGTGGGACAGTAACAGCTCAGTGACTTCAGCACAGTGAGAATGGGCCAATAGTTTAATCAGAAATTTTAGTCAGAAATATCCTGCCATCTCCCCCTGCTCCAAATTCAATTTTCAACTCTGTTTCTAGGGACTCATAATAACATAGAAACCAAGAGAGATAGATGAAATATACTTTTTTTGATTTTTTTCCCTACTTAGTAGGGGTATGCTGTTTCCTAGATTGATGAACTCATGAGAGAGTGAAGTCAGAGGCCTTAAAGAAAATGTACAATCCTTTCCCGTTGTCCTCTATTCGTGCATCTGGGATCCACATGTAAGTGCATGTGTGTGTTTGTGTGTCCATGCATGTCTGGTGTGACCTGAAACTTCTAAACACAGTAAGTAAATTGTTCCATCCAATTATTTAATTGTGAATTTATTATCTATGTAACAATCAAAAATAATATTTACATGTTTTTATGGAAATTCAAGTGAACTAAGGAGGAAGAAACACTCTTTGCTGTAATCTTCCATTGGAGTATATACTTGCTGGTAAGTGCTTTTAAATTAATACTTGTGTATTTCCCATTAATCTGTTGGGTTTATACTTTTAACCATACCAACTAATTTGGGATCTGTCCCAATGCAAAGACAAATTACATCTACTCTTCTGCAGCTGTTCAGTAGGATGTCACCAAGTTTATTATAAGGTAGTCACCTCTAATTAGAAAAAAAAAAAAAGTAAGTTAGTCCAGAAGGAGAATTAGAGTTTTAATCAATATCCTTGCTCAGAAATGTTCCTATTTCTTTTATTTCCTTTTTTATTTCTTCCTTTTTGCTAGCAAGCAGAACTATTATGAAGGTACTATGGTGCAATTGAGTGCATGTTATAATTGAATAGAGAACAACATTTTTGCTATAGTTGTGACAATTGTCTTCCTGTAAAGTGTGCTGTTTCTCTAGAGTAACTTGGATCTCATAAACAATGAATTTGAATGTCTTATACAGCTTGTTAGTTATTGACAGTAAAGGAATGATCCAATTAGTAAGTGATTAATCACAGGTTTCTTTAGGTCTCAAACTGTGTATTGAAAATTTATGGAATAAAAGAGTATTTCATGCATATCTTCACCTAATGGGTAATCACCACCTGAGAATGAGAACTATTTTAGAAAACGAACAACATGAGCAGTAGCACAAAGTACTAATTATTTGATTAATTTTCCTTGTCACTGAGAAACATACCTTTGCCAGGCAATCATAATTATAATGATATTAAAATTAATTAATATTTTATTGTCCACAAACAGAAATGAAAATATTCAACATTTCCAGCTTAACCAACTATTTGGCATTTCAACAGCATATGAAAATAAAATTTGCTATACAGAATTTAATTGCAAGATTATGAGACATGAGAAAATGTGCATAATTTCAAAGACTGAAAAGGTTTAAATGCTATTTTTAGAGAAACCTTCTTAATGTGGAAAGTGAAATGTTCACCACCAGTGAAATAATAAAGGAAGTACATAATCCTTTAAATAAAATATAAAATATTCATATTTTTATTTTGTGGATGTACAAATGTTTGTAGCATGTGCATTGCAGTATGATTTATCAAGCTATATTGTACTGCCCCATTATTATATGATTTCAGTTGTTCAGTCACTAAAAGTATCTACCAATTTTTCTTTATTCCAGGCTAAACAATCATGACGAAATTTCAGATAAATACTAACCTTATTATGCTTAAATCTGACAGCCATGTGGAATATAATAATGGTGTTTTAATAAAGTAGATGATGAAATATGATAGAAAAATATAGACTTGTCAGGGCTGAACTATAGCCCCCAAATCTTTTCAGTTTTGCAATAAAATAATTCAACCCATATTCAGCATAGAAAAAATGGAAGACTTCTTAAATAATATTTCATATGCTGCTTGTTTAAAGAAACGTATTCTTGATCTTGGTGTACTCTCTGTATCTCAGCTGCAAGACTGACCTAGGCACCCTGCGTTCCCTTCGTAGGCAATAGAGAAAACTGGGACTTCATCAACGTAATTCTTTTCATCTCAAAGTAGACGGTTAAAATATATGGGCTAAAAGCACTCATTTTTCAGAATTGGCTGCAAGAGTACTTTGAAGTCACATAGGTTTCAACTTTATTCTTTTTGTCTTTCCAACTCAGTATAAGACTGTAGATTCATCAGAGAAAGTAGCTTTGACTGAGCATAATCTGCCTTCAGTAAACCAGGGAAAATAAAGGCAAGAAAGGATTCCTTTGGAAGACTATCTTTGTGGTCCTGTCTATAGTTATCTTTCATGGGCACAATATGACAGAATAGACGAAGAGCTAGTGGAGTTGAAGATTTCTCAAATCATGCAATTTCTGAAGAGCTGGTTGCTCAGTTTTTATTTATGCTTCTTCTCTAGCTGATTTTCAAAAAATAAAAATCACTTGACAGATTTGTCTGTGCTTTGCATTCACCATTAAAAAATACAGACTGAGCTACTTCACAGAAAAACTCTACAGATAGCATTACTGGCCTTTATGACACCAAACTATTGTTGTGCTTGACCTTTAGCTGGTAACTGCCAGTAGATTTCTAACAGGCTTTTTCTAAAAGAATTAAATGATGAATAAAGACAGCTCTGGACTTGTTTGCTGAATAAAAGCAAAAGTAATAGTTTTGCTGAATTTATTCAGACAGCCTGGGTAATGATATCATAAACAGAGAAACTATCCTGACAGAATACAAAAATCTGACTTTTCACATTGATGGTATATTGACCTTCTTTCATCTTTCATCCTTCCCTTATATTTAGAGGGACAGTAGACAAGTGTGTCAAGGTAATTTTTCTGGAGTTCTTAGAATTTATTGCATCTAGTCAAATTATTTCTTATTATTGTGACTGGTTTGGAAACTGTGCTATAGATATTTATGTCTTCTTTTAACCATCATCAGAATAGAACAATTAAGTTCTGATTCTGGCTTTTCCTACTTTTTAATAGTGATTCTGAAACACATTGAATGCTTAGTAGTGTGTCAGAAACACAAGCCATTCCTAAATGTAGGTCTGTGGGGTTCTTCTCAGGGCTCTGACAATTTTTTATTCTAGTACAGGGAGGTTTTGTTACTTTTACTGTTTTATTTCAGTTCATGTTAAAAATTTTTTTTTACTTGTTTATCAGTCCTGATTTGTTCCAATTTGATTCATTCCCACCTCTAACTTAAATGAAACTAGGAAGGTGCATCAAGAGAAAGCAAAACTGCTGTTGGACTTACATAGCATTTGAATGAGTTCTGTGAAAGTCACGTTAGAAAAGACAGAGGGTAACACGCTTTAGCTGATGACAGAGCAGGATTTATTTCTTCTGTCGTTCCTGAGGAACCTGCATAAATTTTTCATGACTGTATTAATGAGTATGTAGATGAAGTAAAAATTATGCCAATATTCCTGTTGCATGGGCTGATTTGAATCAACCAGATAGAGGATAAGCATATCTCTTTTTCATTGTGAACTGTAATCCTGAATCTTTTGAATATCAGATTTGGTTTATTAAAATATGATTTTTATTAACCAATGCATGAAAATTAACAAGAAAACACAACTAGTCCAAAATGTAGATTGTGTTTTATTTACAGTATGCACTAGACCCATATTCCACAAACTAGACTGGTTTTCAGTTTGTCTCTGGGAACACCTATATTTTTCCAGAGTGTTTTCTTTTGCAGTGTAACAGAACTTGAACTTGTGGACATTTGGGGTTTGTTGCAAAACTCTATTCCTTGCTTAAGCCTTTAAAAAAAAAAATTATTTTTTATTTGTCTGTGAAACGTTTAAACCCTTCAGAAGATAAAGTTTTCATTGGGTCAGTGACATGGTCCTGGTCATACTGAGACATTTAAAGAGGAGAATAATTGTGTTTTGGGAGAAATCATTGGATACAAATATTGGCTAAGTTATTATATTTTGTAAGGTATTTAGAAATTGGGCAAGAATTTAATGTCTTGGGTTGGAGTGCAGGAATTTTTTCTTAATATAATGAATTTAATAGATCTAGCACCTTTCTTCTGCCTTCAAGCCAATTAGGTATCTTTCACAAAATTTTAACATGAAACCACCATATGACCTGATTCTGGTGTGAGTCTTATGTTGTGTAGATGACTCAGACAATAGATGGACTCAGCGTTTGTATTTCTCAGACAGTTTCCCACTGTTTTTTGTCCATGGTTGTTCAGGTAGAATAGATATCTACCTATCTGATTTACTTACACTGTCACATAGATCATGTTATGTAATTTATCTTTCAAATTTTTCATGGATAAAGAAATTGAAATTATACAAGTAGGCCCTACTCTCACTTCAAGGTTCCTTTAAAATAATCAGAAAGAAAGAAGTTAATATGGCTGAATCAATTGAAAGAGTTTTACAAAATTTTGTTGGCCTAACTTTTAGAAAGACAGCAAGACAGAGAACGGAAGAACCTTAACTTGAATCTCAAAGGTCTATCGCTTAAAAGCTTCCATTTTCATGAACTGTGTGAAATGAAAAAGCATTCCAGAATGCAGACAGTGCCCCAGAAAGTTTTTTGAAGCTCTCTTGGCTTTCAGAGAGAGAATAAGCAGAAAGACACAGAGTATCATTTTAGTCCCAAAGAAAATATTTAATTCTCTATTTGTTATTGAATATTAGAATTCCATGGGTTGATTCAGAGAACTTTAATTAAATTCCCCCCAGGCAGACTTTTAGGTGCTGACTCCAAACTTACCTGATATTAGAAGACAAATTTGCCAGTGAAATTAAGTCTAAGTGTGTAAGTTACAGCAGCCTCAAGATAGTAGCGAATTCCACACTGGTAATTAAGGTTCATTTATAAAACTGTTTATTCTGGTTTAGTGGAAAGGTATTATTATTTCCCTTGATAAATATTTGAGGTACTCTTCATCTTTTAAAAGTATCTAATCTAAAAGCAGAAAAAAGCAAAATAATATAATTTGTACGCTACTCCCTTTGTTTCTCTTCTGCATTTTTGAGAGGGGTGTTATTTTTATGTAGCAGAAGGCTACAGCACCTGGGATGCCAAACTCTATGCATGTCTAAAGTAGACTGAAGATCTGCAGAACATACTGCAACAAGCAGTCAGCACTGGTAGGCACTCCACATAGAGCCACAATGCTAATTCTCCTTTTTCTCTTCATATCTTTTAAGATATTATTTTAAAAAAAATTCACATTATATGTACCCTGGATTATTTTCTTTGTCTTTAAGTTACCAAGATAAGTTATGTAAAATGTGTCCTATATTTGATTTTTTTTCTCAATTATTTATCATATGATGATATGGTTAATGAAAGAAAATGCCTCTGTGCAGAAATAGGTTGATGTATTTTCATCTCTAGACTAGGAGACAGGTTCTGCTGAAATGTAGGAGGAAATCTGAGATATTGCACTTAAAGGATTTCATTCAGGCTCATGTAACTTAGTGCTACAATTAATAAACATGCACATTGAGTTCTTCCATACACTTGGTGTGCATATGCCTCTGCTAACAACAGAAGATAATGTGCTCTTTAAAATATTTTCAAATATGGCTCTTCCAACATGGGTGATAGAATAGTGCATTCTTCACTCAAAGTTCACAGAAAAGGTATTCAGAACTACTAATGGCAATAAAGAATAAAACACTCTCCCAAATGCTCTTCCAAAAATGTACAGGTACTTTTTTTAGAGGTTAAAAGGAAAGCAATCCTACTATAACAGTAACAAAAATCACAATAATAATAATAATAACAGTGAGAATACTAATCCTACCTAAACCAGGGCAAAATACACAGTGAAAATCCAGCAATGCATATAGCAACATTTTACAGTATGGTAAACAAACACAGGTGTGATACTGGATCTGAATCTCACTGAATTATTGATATGGATTGGAACCAACTCACTGTGTGTGGGGGGGGCGGGAAGGACTGGGCCCAGACCTACAGGTCCATGATAAGGCCTGCAGAGAGCACATGGTTTGCAGCCCACAAGGCTGAGCTGAGATGTCAGTCAAGGAAGACCCACCTGGTAGCCCATCCACACCATGCCCCTGGAGCCTGTGACTGGCTACAGCACATCTCACTCTAACCTGGAAGGCACTGACCAGATATCCTGCCTGGGATGGAAAACTAAACTGTATAAATACAGGAGACTCCATGTGAGCTCTTTTCTCTATTTTCTTCTGCTGCCTGAACCACGTGAATCATCAAATCTTGTCACTAACTATTTTTCCCTTCCTGTCTTGCCTTCCCTCTTTCTATTCTCTTTTTTCTCTCTTTCTTTACTCCTTTAATCTGTTTTCTTCTTTTACGCTTTTCTTTCTCTTGTGGATAGCTTAAAACCAATTAATTGTATTAAGCTGCTATATTGATTGATTGCAATAGGTGTTTTCTGTGAACTGATTTTTTGTGATGGGTGTTTTAATAAAGTGCTTTTCTTGGTTGTATTTTACTCCTGTAAAACCTGTTGCCAAAATATCTTATTTTTCTCACTAAATTAAAAAGAATTTCTCTTAGAGAAGAGTATGTGACTCTTTCTCTGGACACGAATTTGAGGTTATAATGGACAAAAAGCCTTTTAAAATCCTTAAGTAAAATGTAAGCGCTCTGGGTAGCTTATGGCTTAAAATCTGAAGTGTAACAACAGGTTAATTCTTTTTTTGTGAACGTGCAACATTGTCAGTTGTACTAAAGTACATACACTACCGCATATATAAAAACCTGCTTCTCTTTTACCAATCTGTAATAAATTTTTTTCCTAAAATAGACATTAGTCAGTCGACATCCTCTCCTAAAAGCAAAATCCTGGAAAAATAAAGTATTTTTGCATGTAACCAAGATCAAATGTTGTCAAACGAAGAGGAAAAGTGAGCAGATACTGAAAATTTTACCTTAGGTCAGTCTCCTTCATTTAATCCAGACCTTCTCTGGCAATTAGGGCTCTCCTGTGACCAGTCACAGGCAGAGAAATGAGTCCCAAGTAAACAGTATTCAAACTGTTTTGGAAAAGGTCAAAGCCAAGTCTATAAATCTACCTTGGAAACTGACTGCCAAATGTTGTGGATTAAATAACAAGGTTGCAATGTACATATTCTAGAAGAAAGCACCACCAGGTAAAAAGTTTTGAAAGGTTTTGAAGTACACAACCTGACGAGGGGTCAGAAGTGTGAATGATGGAATCAAGAATGAGAGGTTGAAACCTTGGCAATCTGAGAGGTAAATATTGTAAGAATTTGAAACAGATTTCTGGGCAACGAACAACTGGACTATCTAGCATCAGCTAGTCTGGAAAAAACTACAGATCACCTCAGACAAAAGAAGCTGTAATAGCTTCTACCTTTTTTTCTTTTTGCCTTCCTTATTTTTGCAAATCAGCTTTCAAATGAACTGAATCTTTGTTGCCTACCTTTATCTTAATATATGACAAATGTCTAGGAGTATTCTGGGCACAAAGATCAGCTGGCATAAGACAACCTATGTTTATACGTGTCTTAGAGTTTCCAAAGTAGGGGTGGCAAAGCTGCATTTTGAGAATGTTTCTTGGGACCTCGCAAGTGCTGAATCATGCTCAGTTTTGTCTGGGAGAATGCCAGTTGTCCTAAGCCCAAGGCACGTCAGGGACCAATTTTGCAGTTCAGTTGAATAGACTCAGATTCTGGTGGCTGGTAAAGTCCCTGAATGCTCTTCAGTTTACTTGGCTGTCACACACAAGGCTTCATCCAGTGTACTGAGGGCAACTGTCCTTCCTAAACTAATGCTGGAAAAAACCACAACAATTTGTGCACATTTATAGACAGGCACTTGCTGCTTACTATGCTGGATTAAGATTTTAGATTTCCTACATGCCAACATTTTCTCTGTAAAAGGCTTCAATCTGATCCTGAGTAAATCCTGAGTATGAGGGACCATTTTTTGCATCTGCATTGCAATATTACTCAGTTGAATATAGATTTTGTGTGACAATGCTTCTAGTTGTTTGATTTTGGGATGTAGTTATCTGACTAAATGTTTACCCTTAGCTATCATCCTATCATTGAATAAAGGTGCTTATATGCAGTTATTTGCAGGTGTAGGTAGGTTTGCATATGCAAAAGTAAAGGTGCCAAATTACATGATTAATTTTCTCTTGGTCACAACACAAGCTCATACTAACCTGAGATATTGCCTCTGCTTATATATGACACATTCAAGCCTGTCCCTTTTCATAGTTATCTGGTGTCCATTCAAACAGCCTAATTTTGTTTCACTGCTTCTGTCCTAACTGCGTGAATTCACAACGAAGCAGGGATTAACACTGCAAAATTGTTCTCCATAACATCCTGGAAGTGGTTCACAGGCTCAAGTTGCAAAGGGACAAGAAACTAACATCTATAACTTTGACTTTTATAAACAACTGTAGCACATTTACTAGAAAGATCTCTTGGCCAGCATGCCAAACAGCTTCAACTTTTAGACCTAATTGGAATAAGCAACAAAACATAGAATATTTAATTACTCATCCAATAAATATCCTATTTTACTGATTATACTGATAGATATGAAGGAGGAAAAATCCAAATAAACTTATTTTCATTATGAACAGTCGTTTTCAATAGAGAATGATTTCTGTGAATCATCAGTAGAACTTTAACTTTTATGCCAAAATTATTCAGCCCCAGACTGTCTACTTAAGAAGCTGGTTTTTTCCATTAATGGGCTGATGCAAAATGGTTTTAAAACTATCAATTTGGAATAATTAAATGGAATCTTGGACTCCCTTCATAATGTTGCTCTGCAAGCTTTCTTTAACAGAACGTCCTCTCCTGTTCCAAAATGGGCAATTAGATAAGACTGACAGCTGTTGAGGTGGTAGATGCCAATGTCAAACCGATGATAAAGATACTGATTTTTCTTTATGAAAAAAGAAAACTTTTCAAAGAGTGTGGTGGAAAAGATGCTACAAATCATCTTGAAGCTGGCATTTCTTAGCCCCTCAGTTCTAAACACTTGCTTTCGTTTTATGATTGTATCTAGGGACCCAGAAAAGCTAGACCCAGAAAAATGGAAACATCCATCAGCATTCAATCTAATTTGCAACATTTTCCTAGAATAGCACATACGTGTTTGCAAAAACACTTATTGAAGAGTTGGGATAAATTGGAAGAGAAGGAACATTGTGGAGAGAAGGTACAAGACTGGGTACATCTAGGAAGATGGAAGTGACATCCACTACTGTCCTCAATATATTAAAGCAAAATAAATCTTAATCTATCTAGTGGCTATTTTTTCTGCCAAATCTCCTTGAAGAAAAAGTAATACATTTTCTTAGCTTAGATTTTATGTGAGCATGTTGTAAAAGGGGAGGGCAAAGAAGGGAGGGGAGAGGCATCTCCCTCTTAACTGCCCCTCCTCAGGAAGATGTAGAGAGCAATGAAATCATCCCTCAGCCTTCTTGTCTCCAAATTAGACAAGCCCAAAGTCCTCAGCTACTTCTCATAGAACAACTTTTTCAACCTTTCACCAGCTTTTTTGCTCTCCTCTGGATGTATTCAAGGACCTTCACGTTCTTCCCAAACGGCAAAGCCCAGAACTGCACACCACACTCAAGGTAAGGCCATGACAATGCTAAATACAGTGTGATCATCACTTCTGACCAGCTGGTGATGCTCTGTTTGATGCACCTCAGGAAGTGGTTTGCCTTCTTGGCTGCCAGAGCACATTGCTGGCTCACACTGAGCCTGCAGCAAACCAGCACTCCCAGATCCCTTTCTGCAGGGCTGAGAAAGAAGGACTGAAAACACAATGGAAAAAAAGGGATGTTTTAGTCTTGACATACGCAAAAGACACGCAGATATATTTCATCATTTAGTAAACCCATGCAGTGGTTTCAAAGCAAGCTGTGTGTTTGATCATGTTGTTCATTCTCCCTGTAGTGGGTAAGGGTGGGGAGGGGGCTTTGCCTGTACTTCTCTCATGAGGCAGTCCCACTGCACAGCCTACTGAGTCTCAGTTCACAACTTTCTGGTTCCTCTGCCAAGTCCTTGGCAAGCAGAGCTGGGTTTTCACCCTACTAGAGACTTTTCTGCCTGTGCCCAGTTGGTTAGATCTTAGAATGCATCAGTAAATGAAATGACCAAAGAACTATTTTGTGCCTGTGGGAGCAAGTGCTACAACCCATCACACCCATATGGCTGAATTCTCATCTTCCAAAATGGGCTGTCCGCATCTGTTCTGTCTACTGGGAGCAGCCCTCTCTATTTCCTGGTCCAAGGCTGAGGAACATACCAGGTTACCACCTGGCACAGGCTAGCAGAATGTCAATGGTATGATCAATGTCATGATCAGCTAAAATTCTGTCTTACCTTGATACCTACCATAAGCATAACTTCTGTAAATTTATTGAAAACTTTATGAAAGAGAATAGTTAGATCAGAATTAGGACTGAGGACATTTTTGCTTCCTGAGACTTAAGGGGGACTTGTAAATTATCACTTAAACAATTCATTTTTATTCAGAAATAATATGAGGAAAAAATATCCTGGCTATGAAGCATATGATATGAAATTGGAGTCTGTGGTACTGCAAAATGTTCTTTATTTTTCCACAGGAGAATAAAAGTTAGCAAATTAATAAAATAACCAATTATCAATATTGGGATTAAGATGGACTCTTTTGTCTGAGGCACTCAGTATTTGGACCAGGTTCCCTCCAGGTTCTACTTTACCTTTAAAGACTTCATTCCATAAGTCACAATCAGACTTTAATTTTTTTAAACCCTTCCCGTTGTCCAATTGCTTTTCTTACAGGTAAAAGAGGCAAATGAGTTCAATAGGTAGGAAGTAGGGTTTTGTTGTTGTTGTTGTTTTTATTTTGTGCATTTTCCATCTAAGTTTCTCAACTGGTGTTACAGCACAGTAGAGTTAAATAAATTCAATTACCAACTTCTTACCCTTTAAGCCCCATAACATCTATCTCACAGAATGAAAACATTCATAAAATAAAGACAATGATATCTGTGATAGCTTCATAATGTACCAATAAAATGTGATGGAGAACATACAGCATATCTCCTGGGATTTTAGGATTAAGTAGTTGCATTGCTAAGCATTGCAAATAGCTTTGTAGATGAGGCTATTTATATGACCATGGGAATGTAAGAAGTGTAATAAGGGATCAGATCAAAGATTAATGTCAATAATTATCATTTCCAATAATAATCATGTATAAAAATGACCATTACTAAATGCCTAAAGAAAACTGGAGAAGAAAGCATTGATATTTACCTGAAATACTCATATTGTTACAGATCTGTGGCTCAGAGAGTTTCTGAGCTACAAATGGTTTATTATACACAAATAACCATTTTACTAGTATTATTATTTGCTCATTAGTTAGAAGACCACAAGGATGTAGAAGAAGTCTGGATCTACTAGCTAGATTATGTAAGGTTTGTGTATATGCCATCTGGTCAGACCAGTTGAGGTGATGTACCAGCTTGTAGGTTTTTTCAATCATTGCTAGCTGATGCTGGTGCAAGGACAA